AGGACCATTACCAGGGCTCTGACGACCATTACCAGACTCTGACCATTACCAGGGCTCTGACGACTATGACGACCATTACCAGGGCTCTGACGACCATGAGGACCATTACCAGGGCACTGACGACCATGAGGACCATTACCAGAGCTCTGACGACCATGAGGACCATTACCAGGACTCTGACGACCATGAGGACCATTACCAGGGCTCTGACGACCATGACGACCATTACCAGGGCTCTGACGACCATGACGACCATTACCAGGGCTCTGACGACCATTACCAGGGCTCTGACGACCATGACGACCATTACCAGGGCTCTGACGACCATGAGGACCATTACCAGGGCTCTGACGACCATGAGGACCATTACCAGGGCTCTGACGACCATGAGGACCATTACCAGGGCTCTGACGACCATGAGGACCATTACCAGGGCTCTGACGACCATGAGGACCATTACCAGGGCTCTGACGACCATTACCAGGGCTCTGACGACCATGGGCTCTGACGACCATGAGGACCATTACCAGGGCTCTGACGACCATGAGGACCATTACCAGGGCTCTGACGACCATGAGGACCATTACCAGGGCTCTGACGACCATTACCAGGGCTCTGACGACCATGAGGACCATTACCAGGGCTCTGACGACCATTACCAGGGCTCTGACGACCATGAGGACCATTACCAGGGCTCTGACGACCATGAGGACCATTACCAGGGCTCTGACGACCATGAGGACCATTACCAGGGCTCTGACGACCATGAGGACCATTACCAGGGCTCTGACGACCATGAGGACCATTACCAGGGCTCTGACGACCATGAGGACCATTACCAGGGCTCACGACCATGAGGACCATTACCAGGGCTCTGACGACCATGAGGACCATTACCAGGGCTCTGACGACCATGAGGACCATTACCAGGGCTCTGACGACCATGAGGACCATTACCAGGGCTCTGACGACCATGACGACCATTACCAGGGCTCTGACGACCATGAGGACCATTACCAGGGCTCTGACGACCATGAGGACCATTACCAGGGCTCTGACCATTACCAGGGCTCTGACGACCATGAGGACCATTACCAGGGCTCTGACGACCATGACGACCATTACCAGGGCTCTGACGACCATGAGGACCATTACCAGGGCTCTGACGACCATGAGGACCATTACCAGGGCTCTGACGACCATGAGGACCATTACCAGGGCTCTGACGACCATGAGGACCATTACCAGGGCTCTGACGACCATGAGGACCATTACCAGGGCTCTGACGACCATTACCAGGGCTCTGACGACCATGACGACCATTACCAGGGCTCTGACGACCATGAGGACCATTACCAGGGCTCTGACGACCATGAGGACCATTACCAGGGCTCTGACGACCATGACGACCATTACCAGGGCTCTGACGACCATGAGGACCATTACCAGGGCTCTGACGACCATGAGGACCATTACCAGGGCTCTGACGACCATGAGGACCATTACCAGGGCTCTGACGACCATGACGACCATTACCAGGGCTCTGACGACCATGAGGACCATTACCAGGGCTCTGACGACCATGAGGACCATTACCAGGGCTCTGACGACCATGAGGACCATTACCAGGGCTCTGACGACCATGAGGACCATTACCAGGGCTCTGACGACCATGAGGGCCACTTTATCGAGGCGCTAGACACAAAGCCGGACAGATTGGAGACTTTAAACTGTCTCGAGAAAGCAATTTGCTGATTGGTCAACGCTCCGTGGCTCTGTGCCGGCCATTTTGGTCCAGATTTTTGGTCTAGTTTACCAAGTGAGTCATCATTAATGTCGTTAACATGTCCCATCTGGCTCTCTTTTCCCCCCCACCCAGTGAGCTTTAGATCCCTAAGTCCTTATTCCTTGCTCTGGGCCCTCAGCTCCGGTACCAGTCTTATTGCACTATTTAGCTAATTTGGTATAGCCAATTTGGCATAACCAATTTGGTATAGCCAATTTGGCATATCCAATTTGACATAACCAATTTTGGCATAACCAATTTTGTATGGCCAATTTGGCATAACCAATGTGGCATAACCAATTTGGTATAACCAATTTTGGCATAACAAAATTAGGTATAGCCAGTTTGGTATAGTCAATTTGGCATAACCAATTTGGTATAACCAAGTTGGTATTGACAATTTTGGCATAACCAAATTTGGTATAACCAAATTGGCATAGGCAATTTGGTATAGCCAATTTGGTATAGCCAATTTGGCATATATACAGTGTCCTGGGACGTTGCTTTTCCTTCCTTGAAGGTCAGGAACCTTCTCGAAGAGCCCATTTTGGGACTTTTTTTTTTAAAGGTAGAGAGAGACGTCGGCCAGACCTCCTGAAGAAGAGGCCGGATGTCCCTTACCTCGTGCCCCGTGACCCCCCAGCTGGGCCACAAGTCCTGAAGGAGAGGCCGGATGTCCCTTACCTCGTGCCCTGTGACCCCCCAGCTGGGCCACAAGTCCTGAAGGAGAGGCCGGATGTCCCTTACCTCGTGCCCCGTGACCCCCCAGCTGGGCCACAAGTCCTGAAGGAGAGGCCGGATGTCCCTTACCTCGTGCCCTGTGACCCCCCAGCTGGGCCACAAGTCCTGAAGGAGAGGCCGGATGTCCCGTCACCTCGTGCCCTGTGACCCCCCAGCTGGGCCACAAGTCCTGAAGGAGAGGCCGGATGTCCCGTCACCTCGTGCCCTGTGACCCCCCAGCTGGGCCACAAGTCCTGAAGGAGAGGCCGGATGTCCCGTCACCTCGTGCCCTGTGACCCCCCAGCTGGGCCACAAGTCCTGAAGGAGAGGCCGGATGTCCCGTCACCTCGTGCCCTGTGACCCCCCAGCTGGGCCACAAGTCCTGAAGGAGAGGCCGGATGTCCCGTCACCTCGTGCCCTGTGACCCCCCAGCTGGGCCACAAGTCCTGAAGGAGAGGCCGGATGTCCCGTCACCTCGTGCCCTGTGACCCCCCAGCTGGGCCACAAGTCCTGAAGGAGAGGCCGGATGTCCCTTACCTCGTGCCCTGTGACCCCAGCTGGGCCACAAGTCCTGAAGAAGAGGCCGGATGTCCCTTACCTCGTGCCCTGTGACCCCCCAGCTGGGCCACAAGTCCTGAAGAAGAGGCCGGATGTCCCGTCACCTCGTGCCCTGTGACCCCCCAGCTGGGCCACAAGTCCTGAAGAAGAGGCCGGATGTCCCTTACCTCGTGCCCTGTGACCCCCCAGCTGGGCCACAAGTCCTGAAGGAGAGGCCGGATGTCCCTTACCTCGTGCCCTGTGACCCCCCAGCTGGGCCACAAGTCCTGAAGAAGAGGCCGGATGTCCCTTACCTCGTGCCATGTGACCCCAGCTGGGCCACAAGTCCTGAAGGAGAGGCCGGATGTCCCTTACCTCGTGCCCTGTGACCCCAGCTGGGCCACAAGTCCTGAAGGAGAGGCCGGATGTCCCTTACCTCGTGCCCTGTGACCCCAGCTGGGCCACAAGTCCTGAAGAAGAGGCCGGATGTCCCTTACCTCGTGCCCTGTGACCCCCCAGCTGGGCCGCAAGTCCTGAAGGAGAGGCCGGATGTTCCTCACCTCGTGCCCTGTGACCCCCCAGCTGGGCCACAAGTCCAGAAGGAGAGGCCGGATGTCCTGTCACCTCGTGCCCTGTGACCCCCCAGCTGGGCCACAAGTCCTGAAGGAGAGGCCGGATGTCCCGTCACCTCGTGCCCTGTGACCCCCCAGCTGGGCCGCAAGTCCTGAAGGAGAGGCCGGATGTCCCGTCACCTCGTGCCCTGTGACCCCCCAGCTGGGCCGCAAGTCCTAAAAGAGAGGCCGGATGTCCCGTCACCTCGTGCCCTGTGACCCCAGCTGGGCCACAAGTCCTGAAGGAGAGGCCGGATAGGCCGTAAAAACTCCGCCGGCGAGGCAGCCGGACGGAAAAGGGCCCATCAAATTAATGGTTCAAGGAATGCAACTTTTCTCATTCTTGGAATGGAAAATGTATTCTCTGGGAGCATGCAGTTTCGGCCAGTGGCTCTTCGCGGCTTTTGTTGGGCTGTTGGTTAGTTTTGGGGTGTAATGGTCTGTCTAGCACCATTATTAAGGCCATAGTTGAGTAATTAAGAACATATAGGAATGAATAAGTGTGTGTGTGTGTGTGTGTGTGTGTGTGTGTGTGTGTGTGTGTGTGTGTGTGTGTGTGTGTGTGTGTGTGTGTGTGTGTGTGTGTGTGTGTGTGTGTGTGTGTGTGTGTGTGTGTGTGTGTGTGTGTGTGTGTGTGTGTGTGTGTGTGTGTGTGTGTGTGTGTGTGTGTGTGTGTGTGTGTGTGTGTGTGTGTGTGTGTGTGTGTGTGTGTGTGTGTGTGTGTGTGTGTGTGTGTGTGTGTGTGTGTGTGTGTGTGTGTGTGTGTGTGTGTGTGTGTGTGTGTGTGTGTGTGTGTGTGTGTGTGTGTGTGTGTGTGTGTGTGTGTGTGTGTGTTTTCTGTGTGTGTGTGTGTGTGTGTGTGTGTGTGTACTTACGAACCTGGGGTCAAATTCACGAAGTAGTTACGCAAGCACTTACGAACCTGGGGCCAGATTCACGAAGTAGTTACGCAAGCACTTACGAACCTGGGGCCAGATTCACGAAGTAGTTACGCAAGCACTTACGTACCTGGGGCCAGATTCACGAAGCAGTTATGCAAGCACTTACGAACCTGGGGCCAGATTCACGAAGCAGTTACACAAGCACTTACGAACCTGGGGCCAGATTCCCGAAGTAGTTACGCAAGCACTTACGAACCTGGGGCCAGATTCATGAAGCAGTTACGCAAGCACTTACGAACCTAGGGCCAGATTCGTGAATCTGGCCCCAGGTTCGTAAGTGCTTGCGTAACCACTTCGTGAATCAGGTCCCGGGTGACTACCAACAGCAGCGCCTCAGACGACTGTCGTAACAATCTTCGAGACAATCACCATCTTACAGATCACCTTAACTGTCCACTGTTACAAATGAAACAATTCCTGGAACTCTGGAAGCTGGAAGTGAGCCCAAACGGTTCCAGCAGCAGCGACGCTCAGGCGCGGGAATGGTGAAATTGGCTGCTTTTGGGTCCTTTGAGACATTAACTAGTTTATCGCCCAGTTCCTTGAGATGATTTATCTTGCGCTGAGATGTGAATGGTTTAATGGGGCTGGTGGCTGAGTGGACAGCGCTCTAGACTCGTGGACCTAGGGACAGGGGTTCAATTCACAGCATAGAATTGAATATGCATAGTTTCTTTCACCCTGATGCGCCTATTCACCTAGCCGTAAATAGATATCTGGGAGTTAGACAGCTGTCACGGGCTGCTTCCTGAGGGTGCGTGTGTGAAAAACTAGTCACTTAGTAGTTAGTAACAGTTGATTGAAGGAGAAGACATCGCCCCTCCCCCCAGTACCCCCCCTCTCCCCCCCAGTACATACCCTTTCCCCCCCTAGTCCCAAACTACTCAGAATTAACCACTTTGTTGTGTCCCAGTACTCTGTGTCCTATGACAAGCCCCCACCCCACACCACCATACTGCAAAATATCTAAAAAAAAATAGGGGAAAATAATTCACCCTCACTAGAAAATAGGGTGACTGAGTGTGCTTGCAGACATGGGGTATTTTAATAGGTATAAATGGGTTTATTAAACACTATTTTGGGTAGTCGTTTTCTCCCTATTTAACTAAGGTAATCTGAGGGATAATTGTGTCTCTGTGAATTAAGATCAATTGAGGATAAAATATTTTTCAAACCTTCATTTAAAGTTGTTTTAATTTCTATATTTTCTGTTGGATGTATTTTATTGTTGTTGGTAATTGTTGGATGTATTATACTGTTGTTGGTAATTGTTGGATGTATTATACTGTTGTTGGTAATTGTTGGATGTATTATACTGTTGTTGGTAATTGTTGGATGTATTATACTGTTGTTGGTAATTGTTGGATGTATTATATTGTTGTTGGTAATTGTTGGATGTATTATACTGTTGTTGGTAATTGTTGGATGTATTATACTGTTGTTGGTAATTGTTGGATGTATTATATTGTTGTTGGTAATTGTTGGATGTATTATACTGTTGTTGGTAATTGTTGGATGTATTATATTGTTGTTGTTATTGTTGGATGTATTATACTGTTGTTGGTAATTGTTGGATGTATTATACTGTTGTTGTTATTGTTGGATGTATTATACTGTTGTTGGTAATTGAGTTTTTCTATAAAATGCTGGAAAAGAATTAATTACTTAAAAAAATGAATAAAAAAGAAGTTTTGGTAATAAATATTTAATTGTGAGTGGGAATATTTTATGTTATATGAATGCTCTCTGTCTCTGTCTGTCTCTGTCTGTCTCTGTCTGTCTCTGTCTGTCTCTGTCTGTCTCTCTGTCTGTCTCTCTGTCTCTCTCTGTCTCTCTCTCTCTCTCTGTCTCTCTCTCTCTCTCTCTCTCTCTCTCTGTCTCTCTCTCTCTCTCTCTCTCTCTCTCTCTCTCTCTCTCTCTCTCTCTCTCTCTCTGCAACAATCAACTCATCCCAGGTCTATTATAAATCCCAGCAATTCGTTGCATAAATCGACAACTCTATTTACAAACCAGTATTTACCCAGGTCTTTCCCGAATTCAAACACCTCTATTTTATAACCAAATGCTTTATCAAGATCACAGCCAACACATATATTGATAAAAGATTAAGAAATAGACTATATAATGGCCCTAGACTATATAAAGAAACTCTACGGAAACACATTGCCACGTTTGAATATCTTTAACATGTGGGATTTTTTTTAAATAAAATTTGATGAATTTCAAATAATTTTAAATTCTGCGGTTATGGTGAGAGGAGAATAGTTATATGACTTAATATAATATTCAACTGTGGATATCTTTCACGATAATAAGTTTAGTATCTGTGAGTTTTTTAACTAAATGTTAAGGGTTGAAAAGTTTTAAGTTCGAGTGGGAAACTGGGTGATAAGTCTCTCTTGTAGTTCAAATGTTTCTAAAACTTATATGTTTTCAGTGATAAAAGAATGACTGGATGTGGAATACATACATATATACATACACACATATACACACATACACACACACATACACACACACATACACCTTTTTAACTAAATGTTAAGGGTTGAAAAGTTTTAAGTTCGAGTGGGAAACTGGGTGATAAGTCTCTCTTGTAGTTCAAATGTTTCTAAAACTTATATGTTTTCAGTGATAAAAGAATGACTGGATGTGGAATACATACATATATACATACACACATATACACACATACACACACACATACACACACACATACACCCACACACACACACACACACACACACACACACACACACACACACACACACACACACACACACACACACACACACACACACACACACATACACCCACACACACACACACACACACACACACACACACACACACACACACACACACACACACACACACACACACACACACATACACCCACACACACACACACACACACACACACACACACACACACACACACACACACACATACACACACACGTGTGTGTGTGTGTGTCAGCAGCATATGCCAGGCTGGCCAACATACGAACGGCATTCAGAAACTTGTGTAAAGAATCATACAGAACTTTGTATACCACATATGTCAGACCAATCCTGGAGTATGCAGCCCCAGCATGGAGTCCATATCTAGTCAAGGATAAGACTAAACTGGAAAAGGTTCAAAGGTTTGCCACCAGACTAGTACCCGAGCTGAGAGGTATGAGCTACGAGGAGAGACTACGGGAATTAAACCTCACTTCGCTGGAAGACAGAAGAGTTAGGGGAGACATGATCACCACATTCAAGATTCTGAAGGGGATTGATAGGGTAGATAAAGACAGTCTATTTAACACAAGGGGAACACGCACAAGGGGACACAGGTGGAAACTGAGTGCCCAAATGAGCCACAGAGATATTAGAAAGAACTTTTTTAGTGTCAGAGTGGTTGACAAATGGAATGCATTAGGGGGTGATGTGGTGGAGGCTCACTCCATACACAGTTTCAAGTGTAGATATGACAGAGCCCGATAGGCTCAGGAATCTGTACACCAGTTGATTGACGGTTGAGAGGCGGGACCAAAGAGCCAGAGCTCAACCCCCGCAAACACAACTAGGTGAGTACAACTAGGTGAGTACACACACACACACACACACACACATATACACACATACACACACACACACACACACACACACACACACACACACACACACACACACACACACACACACACACACACACAGTTGGACTGTTTGAGGCTTCAAGAAGACCTAGACAAACTGCAGGAATGGTCGAACAAATGGTTGTTAGAGTTTAACCCAACCAAATGTAATGTAATGAAGATAGGTGTAGGGAGCAGGAGGCCAGATACAAGGTATCATCTGGGAGAGGAAATTCTTCAGGAGTCAGAGAAAGAAAAAGACTTGGGGGTTGATATCACGCCAGACCTGTCTCCTGCAGCACATATCAAGCGGATAACATCAGCGGCATATGCTAGGCTGGCCAACATACGAACGGCATTCAGAAACTTGTGTAAAGAATCATTCAGAACTTTGTATACCACATATGTCAGGCCAATCCTGAAGTATGCAGCCCCAGCATGGAGTCCATATCTAGTCAAGGATAAGACTAAACTGGAAAAGGTTCAAAGGTTTGCCACCAGACTAGTACCCGAGCTGAGAGGTATGAGCTACGAGGAGAGACTACGGGAATTAAACCTCACTTCGCTGGAAGACAGAAGAGTTAGGGGGGACATGATCACCACATTCAAGATTCTGAAGGGGATTGATAGGGTAGATAAAGACAGTCTATTTAACACAAGGGGAACACGCACAAGGGGACACAGGTGGAAACTGAGTGCCCAAATGAGCCACAGAGATATTAGAAAGAACTTTTTTAGTGTCAGAGTGGTTGACAAATGGAATGCATTAGACAGTGATGTGGTGGAGGCTGACTCCATACACAGTTTATAATGTAGATATGATAGAGCCCAATAGGCTCAGGAATCTGTACACCAGTTGATTGACAGTTGAGAGGCGGGACCAAAGAGCCACAGCTCAGCAAGCACAACTAGGTGAGTACACCCCATAACGGAAGCGTCGTGTCTGTCGGTGGGAGTCGAACCCCAACATTGATCTGAGGTAATCCAGAGAGATGAAATTTCCGCGTCGCCGGAGACGTTGGGCTCAAGTTATGAGGTAAAGTTGATTTTGAGCCGCTGTCAGTGGCTGAGTGACGCCACTCATCCTCACATCCTCACTCTTGTCACTCTCACACGTTCTCACTCTTTGTTGAGCTCTCACACACTCTCACCCGCTCTCACACACATTTTCCCACGCTTTCACACAGTTTCCCACGCCGTTCCTTATTCTTTATCCATACCTGATTTCGGGGGTTAGTGTCCCCGAGGCCCGGTCCTCGACCAGGCCTCCACACCCCTCCAGGAAGCATATTAGACATAGGCCTCGTAGGCGTGTTTCAGGCGTAGGCTAGACATATATATGAATGAGTTTGGGGTGGGTATGTATAGCTTGGAACTAGTGTGGGAAGAGGAGACATGTTCCCGTCGTAGATATTGACAGACACATCTTCTCCAGCTTCCCAAGACCTATCTTGCGACAAACACACACACGCCAAGCGACGACAAATACTCTTGCTTGTTTGCTCACACAAAAACATATCTTCCTGTCCACTCTCCGCCGTCTAAACTGTCCTGGGAAATGAGGAGACAGAATCGTGAGAGGAATATTAACATTATTTCGAAAACCTGTGAGAGAATGGAGAGGTTTTGGTGTCCTGATGTCTCAGTGAGGGAGAGAGTGAGTGTCTCAGTGAGGGAGAGAGTGAGTGTCTCAGTGAGGGAGAGAGAGTGTCTCAGTGAGGGAGAGAGTGAGTGTCTCAGTGAGGGAGAGAGTGAGTGTCTCAGTGAGGGAGAGAGTGAGTGTCTCAGTGAGGGAGAGAGGGAGTGTCTCAGTGAGGGAGAGAGTGAGTGTCTCAGTGAGGGAGAGGGAGGGAGAGAGTGAGTGTCTCAGTGAGGGAGAGGGAGGGAGAGTGTCTCAGTGAGGGAGAGAGTGAGTGCCTCAGTG